ACCCCATAAAACTTAATAATCCCTAGCAGGATCTCTGGGGAGGTAATGGGCAACCGAGCCGTTCTGGCCAAGTAAGTGATGGCTCAAGCCAATTACTAGGTCCTTCCTTAGTGCTCGAGCACATACTGCAGACAGTGGCTTGTGTTCACAGGGATGGCCTTGCAGCACCAAGAAGAAGCTGGATTGTGTTGCTCCATGTTTACTAAGGAAAGTACGTACCGGTGAAGCATATTTTAGAAAGATTTTTGTTAAAATGGTAGCAAGGGGAAGTGGGAAACTCATGCAGACGTGGATTCAAACCCAACTCCATCCTAACCAGGCCACTGAAGTGTGCAAGTTAACACCTCTGAGCCTCAGTTTCCTTATTGGCACGATGGGAATAGCAAGAGCCACCTCACAGAATTGTTGAGGGGCTTCGATAACATAACATAGACTGCAGCCAACACACAGGTTGCCCTTAAAAGATTAGGTTTCAGTGATCAAGGAAATTTGCAGATCTAAAGCGCTGGACCCCTGCCACAGGGCTGGGTAAATGAAGCATTGCATCATTATTGCCACTTGCATTGCTGCTGCTGCTACTACTACTGCTAATACTAACCTCGTTGTTACTCCATTCCCATGGAGAGAATAAGGGGCAGCCATCGACCATAAGGGCAGGAAAGAATTTATCAGCAGAGGTAGGCTGTCAGTTCACAGACTCCTTCCTCAATGAAAACTGCTCTCACCACGGGCCTCTCCCAGGCAGGTGGTCCCTCCCTGCTCTGCTCTCCCCAGACATTTGTCCACACTTCCATTAGTCAGGCTTTCCGATCTTCTTGGAGGTGCTTTTTAACGACGGGTAAGAGCAATCCATTGCATTCAGGAGGACTGGGTTCAAACCTATGTATATCCCTGGCCAAGATATTTTACTTCTCTGTGCCTCATTTTCCAAATCTGTAAATGTGGCATCATAAATTACCTATCTCATAGGGATAGTATGAGGATGAGTTGAGTTCTTACATGTAAATTTCTTGGAGCAGTGCTTGGGGCATAGTAAGTGTCGCCAAGTATTAGCTAGTTATGATGAGGATGAGTTGTATATACTATGTATATATTTATGTGTGTGAATATATAAATGACACCTCATACAAATGGACATTGGGTAAGTGTTTTATAAATGAAAGTTGATGGGCTGGGAGAAGCTCTGACTATTTCAAAGAATTGCTGGGTAGCTTTGCTAGAGGGGCTGTGACCTTTCCTTTCTAATCAATAGGCTTCTGGTGGTGGGGAGAGGGTTGTGAAGCAGAAGTCACTGAATCCCTTTCTTGATTTTACGAGACTCCCTGTCTTGTGATAGCACAGAAGAGGAATTCAGAGGATGGAGACCCTTGCCGGAGGCATTCAGGAGAGGAATTCCATCTGCCGTCCTATATAAACAAACAACGCGGCAGGGGCTAGTCCCTTCTCTCCATAGGAAACCACTTGTTCCCATATTTTGTTTTTGCCCTCCTCTGCCTTTATAGGATGATAAATCACTAAAATGTGATGTGGCTTCAAAAAGCTAACGGTGCATTTTTTTTTTAACATCCAGCCCAGCAGATCTTCACATGCATGGGAACTTGCTGTTCCACAGAGACTTGAAAAGGTCCCCAGGAGCCCTCCCCCCATCAGAGGTGGAGCAACAGCCTCTTGTGCAGTTCCCATCCCCCTCTGCTCAGGGACTAAGAGAGACGTGGGGAGTCTCTAAATGACCTGCTAAGAGCAGGAGGCACAGACAGCTAGGAGTTAGAGAGACTTGGACTGAAATCTCAGTGCTGCCACGTACTGGCTGTAAGAAATTGGATGAATTGCTTAAATTCTCTGAGCCCCCATGCCTACATCTGTGAAAGGGGAACCAAATCTCCCCCTCCAAGGTCTGTTATGTGGATTAAGTGATAGCTAGTCATAAAGCAATTAGCACATGGAAGAGACAGCCAATGTGCGGAGCTGTCTTTGGCCTACATAGGAATGTATAGTCCCTGGAAAGACGTTCATCCTGAGTTGAGTCCTTTCATGCCAATGCCAGCCCATGGACGCGTCCTGGAGTTTGTGCACATCATTTAAGCGCTCTGCCTCAGTTTCTTCTGTGCAACATGAAGATAAAAATAATTATCCAGCTTACTTCCCAAATTTACAAGAAGGTGGAAAAGTTTATGAGTGTACTTTGAAAGTTCTTCGAAAAAGTAAAAACTGTTTAACTTCTTTTTTCTAAAGTATCAGCACCAGAATTTCTTTGATTTAATCAAGATTTGCACTGTGGCCTTTGATAGACCAAAGTAGACCACCACTCACAGATGAGACTTTAACTCATTAGAGGCACATTCAGAGAAAAGCCTTGCATGACTTTAATTCTCACTGCAGTGTCCATGACTGATAGCAGAGCCTTTATAGAGAGAAGATTTTGATAGAGCAGAGGAGGGAGTGAGCACAGAAGCATCTGTGGGCTCAAAATATGCTCCCCAGAGGGGCACCTGAGAACATCAGAAACACGCTTTGCCCAACTCATCCATAGCCTTTAGGCTGGTCTGGACACACAGTTGTTCTAATTCCTGTGTTATGCTGTCCTCTCTCAGGACCAGCTGCCTCCATCATTTAAAAACGGAGAGGCAAGAAGAGCTGGTTATTAAAAGGTATCTCGTTTCATAAACAAGTGTTCTTGCTACAAATATTCCAGCAACAGGCTGCCTAGTGTCCCCAATCTACTGAAATCCAGGACAAGTGTTCCTGCCAATCTCCAGCCATCCATCTGTCCGGCAGATCCACAAATCATCATGGAAGTTAAAGAGCTGCTGGTGGTCGCAGCAGGGTGACCTGGATCCTCCCTGTCACCCATCAAAGCCCCCTGGCCCTCAAGTCCCACAACAACAGTTCCTCTTCTTGTCATCAGGCCCAGGTGATGAGCTCAAAGAATGCCCCAGAGGAAGCCAGGAATGTCTTTGTCTGGCTTGGCAAGTGGCTTGCCTGCCCTACACTGGTCAGGATGTGGGAGTGGAGAACTATTTTTGTTTCCTTCTGGAAGTGACCACAGTGACCAGGGCCAGCCACAAATCTGTTAACTGCCCTGAGGGAGATTTGCCTCCCTTCAAAGGACAGTAGGAGGAAAGCTTGTTTGGGAAGCCAAAGTGTCTCCAGGTGCCACATTCTACCCCCGGGCCACAAAATGAAACCAGGGGGACCTATCTGGATGAGAATGAGACTCTTCACTAGATTTTCAGACACCCCCCCAAGCCTCTGCTGTTACCAAACCAAACTTGGGTCCACTTGCCTATGCAGTAAAGCCAATCTCCTGACCGGGTTGTGGCGAAGGACGGTGCAGTGTTTATTGCAGGCACCAAGCAAGGAGTTCAGGGCGGCTAATGCTTAAAAGACCCCAACTCCCCAAAGACTTTCAGGGAAGGGTTTTTAAAGACAGGGTGAGGGAGGGGTTTGGGGGGTACGTGATCAGTTCATGAACAGTCTTCTGATTGGTTGATGGTGAGGTAATCAGGGGTCAGCATCATCAACTTTCTGGTTCCAACCCATCTGGGGTCTCCCTGCTTGTGGTCAGCTTACAGTTAACTTCTTCCACCTGGTGAGGGTTTCAGTCTCTGCAAAACAGCTCAAAGGACGTGGCTCAGGATATTATCTCTAGCCCTTGAGGAGGAACTAAAGGTCCTTGACTTTGTTTAATGGCTAAACTATTTTTATTTTTGCCTTCCTTGCTTGTTCTCCTTTCTTTCTTTATTTTCTCAACTTCTCTGATTAAATGTACGCTTTGGAACTCAGGGAAGCGTAGGAGGCTACAGTTTTTGAGGCAGGCAGAGGACATGGGTGAGGAAGGCTGCTCTGGGAAGGTTCCATAGGGTCCTGCTTGGATACACTGCCACCATGGCTATCGGTGACTGACTTCCCCACTGGTGCTTCACTTATTCAATCAGTCAGTGATGTGTGCCTGGCCCATTGTGTGCCAGGCACTGTGCTGACAGAGAGGAGAGGGGTCTGTGGAAGGATTCCAGTTCCACACCCTCCAGTTTCACTTCCCGGGTCATGAGGAGGTGGGAGGGGGAAGGGAGATTGCTACTGTCTTTGGCCCCGGAAAAATGCTTCCACTCCCATGTGAAACGCTTTCCCTCAGTGAGCTTCTGCAGAGGTGGAACAGGTTGAAACCTTCTAAAGAGTTTCTGTTAAATTCTAAGAGTACAGAGAGGGAGAGGGGAGGATGAATGGAACTATGATTTATTCAACTGCTATTTGTTCAACAAATATTTAATGAGCCAGTATTATGTGCCAGGTAGTGTGCCAGCAATGAGAAAACAGGTGGAAAAGGGCTATCCCCTGACCTCAGGGGATTTGATAAGCTCAGATGCTGAATTCGTGGTCCACTGGTTCCCAGGGAGTAGCACCCCACCGCCTACCCGACCCCTTCCTTCCTTCCACTGCCAGTCATTTTATTAAAAAATGAAAGCCTGAGGTAATTTGCTCTCCCATGTCAGCTAGGAGGACTTAAACTCGCACAGGCTAAAAGTTCACACTAACAGGCAGGATTAATTAGTAGTTGTCATGGAAATGGAATATCATTAATTATACAATTTGAAACTGTTCAAGTCCACTTGCACCAAAATTACATCCTGAAACTACAGCATCACAAAGCCTTCACACACTCTTGACTCATATTTGAGTCATGTACAACACTTAAGTATTAAATATTATTTGCAAAACAACCAGTATTGTCCATTTATGTGCGATGGGGTAGGAGAGTTGGTGCTCCACACACAGAAGGATGTCTGAGCATGTGGCCCATTATTCACACCTAACACACATCAGTACATCTGTTTTGAAATGCCGTTGCATCCAGACTGTTGTCTAGTGGATAAAGTCTCCTATGGGCCCCATAAAGTGTGCAAGGTGCCTGCATTAGTCGTTTACTGTTGCATGACAAATCACCCCAAAATGTAACAGCTTGAAACAGCAATAATCATTTCACATTTCTCACAGTTTCTGTGCGTCAGGAATTTGGGAACAGCTCAGCTGGAGGCTCCGGCTCAGGGTCTCTCCTGAAGTTGCCGTCCAAGTGTCAGCTGGAGCTGTACCTGAAGGCTTGACTGGGACTGGAGGATCCTCATCCAAAGTGGCTCACTCTTATGATGGTGAGTTGATGCTAGCTCTTGGCCAAGGGCCTTTTCCCTCCATGTGGGCCTCTCTGTGGGGCATCCTGAGTGTCTTTAAGATATAGCAGCTGGGACTTCCCTGTTGGCGCAGTGGTTGAGAGTCTGCCTGCCGATGCAGGGGACACGGGTTCGTGCCCCGGTCCGGGAAGATCCCACATGCCGCGGAGCGGCTGGGCCCGTGAGCCATGGCCGCTGAGCCTGCGCGTCCGGAGCCTGTTGCTCCGCAATGGGAGAGGCCACAACAGTGAGAGGCCCGCGTACCGCAAAAAAAAAAGATAAAGCAGCTAGCTTCATCCAGAGCGAGCAATATAAGAGACCAGGGCTGAAGTGGTAGTGCCTATCCTTGGTCCTAATTGTCATTTGTACGATATATATTAGTCACACAGGCAGCGCCGACTCTGTGTGGGAAGGGCTCATACAAAGGCTTGAATACCAGGAGATGTAGATCCTCGGGGGCCATGTTGGATGCTGGCTACCACCAGTGCTGATCATTGCAAATGCTTCCTCTGCTCTCCAGCGTAGTCAGGCAGCAGGATATTCCCATCCATCAAATCTCTGCATATTTGAGTGAAGCTATGTGTAAATTGATGCATTTCAGAGCATTCTGTAATAATAAAATAGATAATACCAAAACAGCAGAGAATACTATTTGGACTGTTTTCGGACATTCAGAGGTCTCTTGATTCCAGAATCTACAGATAATCACTATTAACATTTCAGCATATGTCCTTCCAGGTCTTTTCCATGTCCTTTCCAGTGGTTCTTCTCCTAACAGCATTTAAAGGTGTTTATGTCTGTCCCATCCTAACACCACCTTTCCTTATCCTCTGTTTCCCTTCAGCTGTTACCTTATATCTCTTATCACCTCCACAGTCTAGCTTCTTAAACAGCTTGGCTAAACTTCTCACCTCCCGATCGCTCCTCACACCACTTAAACTGGCTTCAGTCCCCACTATTCCATGGGAGTTGTCCCTACCACAGTCACCCATGACCTTCTCATTGCCAAATCCAGTGGACACTAAGTCCCTTTCTTTTCTGACCTCTTAGCGCCATCTGATGCTGTTGACCACAAATCTCCCTTCCCTGGTTTTTCTCTTACTTCCCTGACTGCTCCTTATCCGTCTCCACTCTGGGCATTCTTCTATCCACCCCTTAAATGTTGGGGTTCATTACTTCTATCCACCCCGTAAATGTTGGGGTTCCTCAAGCCTCTGTCCTAGACCACTTCTCACTCTACACGTGTTGCCAGGGCAACCCCGTCCATCTCCGCACCTTCATTTACCAGCTATAAGCCAGTGCTTTTTAAATCTACATCTCTAGCTCAGACGTCTCTCCTGAGCTACAGACCTATATAACCAACTGTGTGATGAGTATCTTTGGTCACGTCTCAAGCTCAATGTGTTGAAAACTGAATTCATCATTTCCACCGGCTCTGCCAGTGTCCTCCCATCTCAGTAAATAGCACCTTTATCCACTCAGTTGCCCAAGCCAGAAACACAGGCATTAATTATCCCTGACACCACTCTCTCCATCTCTCACATTCATCAGTCACCATGTCCTAGGGATTCTACCTCCAATATATCTCTAAAATCCGTTCACTTTTCTCCATCCCTTACTGTCAGCTCTCAGCAGCTCTTAACTGGTCATCCTATCTCCAGTCTTGCCTCATCATTTACTTAACCACTCTTCTATCATGGGATGTTTAGGTTTCTTGTACATGATTATACTTAAGAAAATTTTTTTTTGGTTACCTGAGCTCTTTGTTAGATTGGGTTTTGATTTCATGATGTTAATATATTTGCCTCTAAGGTATGCCTTACAAATAAAGAATCAGGAATAAACATCTGATCCCCTTCTCTCCAGACCAAACCTCTCTCCAAAGTCCTGTGTGGTCTCGATTCCAGGGGAATGGATTTCACTATGTTCCCAGGAGTGGACACACTATTCCTCAGCCTGACAAAGCCCTCTGTAACCCAGGCTGGCCGCATCTAGCCAGCCCCGTTCCCAGCCACACACTCTTCCATTCCCTTATGCATCTGGTTGTTCCTTCATCAAGTATTTATCTAGTACACATAAGGCACTGTGCTAAGAAATATCCTCACTGTAACAGGTCCGTATCCTCATGGCATGCTCCACCCCACCTCCAAACTACATTTGTTTTCTGATTCTGGACCTTTGCTCACCACCACCCCGCTCCGTGGAATGTCCTCTTTCATCCCCTTCCCAATAGCCTCGTCTTTCCCATCCTTTGATGTAAGCCTACCTTCACTGACCATCCCAGACCACAGTGATCCCTATACCTTTCTTATCTCTTCTCTCATTTCAAAACGTAATCAAGGTATCTTGCATTGCTATTTTATTATTTCTCATATCAATAGTTCTAACTGTAGCTGTATCAGTACTGTCTCCCCATCTGGATTTAGACCCCTGGAGAATCAGAATCATACTTTTTTTTCCTTTCTAGGGAATTACTTAAGTAGGAAATTCCTTATTAGTAGCTGATTAATTAACTAGTTAATTATTTTACTTCTCTGAGCCTCGAGGTCTTCATATCTAGTACTAGATAATAATTCCAACAATTTAGGGTGGTTGTGAGAATTAAAGATGGCAACAGATGAGAAAAAATATCCTATTGTGCCTGGCACACAGAAGGTGCCCAATAAATGTTAGTTCTCATCCCTGTAATGTCTAATCCTGGGCTGAAAACACAGTAACTAAAAGTACTTACGTGCAAAATGAATGAATGAATGAATCGGTAAATGAATGACAAAAGGCTGAAGGAATGAAATAATGCATTCCCTGTCAGAGAAAGAGACGGACTTTCCTTGGCTGGTATGGGAGCGTATTCTGCCAGAGGAGAGACTGTAGATAGATTTCCTCCTCGGCTCCAAGATCATGAAATGTTGATTAATGGGAAATCAGGTTTGATTTGGGTATTTCTGCTGCAGCCAGCTAATTTTTGTAAGTTTGACTGAATTTGTGATCTGTCAGAATTCCCAGAAGAAAGTAGCAGGCACGTGTTTCTTATAAACTGAAAAGAAATTCTTGTGTAAATTAATTTTCACTGGCATAGATCTGGCTCCAGGTACCGTAAGAAATGAGAATATGTTGGTTTTAGAGCCCAAGCTATAAATAGTTATCCCCTCACTGTCACTGGTGTTTGTAGAAACTCCTTTTTCACTAATGGTCATTCCATTTGTTTTGAAAAAGATATCAAATGGTCCAAAAAGTCTTGAAGGTCATGACATAAAAGGCCTTTGGGGAGGAGGACACTAGGAAGAGGGGTTGTCATCTCCAGATGCTAACCATTTGGTTTTCTAGCTTCACATGTTGAGTTCATGGTATTAATTTTGCGTTCTTCGTGGAGGGAATGACTTTGTGGTCAGCTGCAGTCAGCAGTGACAATTAACCCCTGTCCTCCTATCTTCACCACGGGAGGTGACAGAGGTGACAGAGATTTCTCCATTATTCCCCCGATCCCCTTCTTCATTCCCTGCTCCCCTCTCCTCCCCATTCCTAACAGACCTCCCCATCACCCCACACCATATCTTCCCAACTACATGGAATGTTCTCGAAGAAGGGGGATCATGATTAAGGACTGCAGTCTTGGCACATTGACCCTCCATGCATGCATGAACAAATTGGAGAAATTTATTTTGTGTGGCCACAAAATGGCAAATCTGGAAGGGACATCACAGATCACCTAGTTCAGGGACTCCTCAGCAGGGTCCATGGAATTCTAAGGGATCTGTGGATAGAATTCAATGAGTGCACACATTTGGATGAAGAAGGTTTAAATCTTTATTTTCATTACTAACTGAAATTTAGCATTTTCTTGAATTACAAATAAAGGTAACACCCCACAATAGTGTTGGCACTATCTGTGACTTTTTCACCAAAGAAGTCGTACTTATTTTTTATATCTCATTATAGATATTGCAAAAATCTCAAAATAATCTTTTATTTTCGACATTACTTCAAAATTACAGCAAAATGATAACATTATAAGTAAAAAATTACTTGCCACCAGATCTCATTTGATGCATTAGTAAAGAAGCATATCTATTATTATGTCAAGTATTTATTCTTTATTTCGATTATATTGAAAGTTATATCAACATAATTGGTTTCTTCTGTAATCCTTGGTATTTTGTCTCATGCATTTAACAACATTCTACTGAGAGGGGAATCCATAGATTTCATTTGACTGCCAAAGGGGCCACAGGACAGAAAAGGTTAAGAACTCAGATCTAGTCCCTGGAAGCACAAAATTTGTCTCACACCATATTCCAGGATCTCTGAGAAAGATAATGAAGACACATCAGGATGCAGAGGGAAAGAATACTGTGATCGATTAGCAGTGTCTGTCAGGGGCACAATATGAAGAAAGTGGTAGAATGGAATTGCATACTTTCCAATCTAGGCCAGTGCTGCAAATACAACTTTGTGCAACGATGGAAATATTTTATCTGCACTGTCCAATATGGTGGCCACTAGCCTCATATGACTTTTGAACACTTGAAATGTGGCTGGTGCAACTGAAAATTTAAATTTTTAGTTCTATTTAATTTTAGTTAATTTACATTTAAATACCACCTGTGACTAGTGGCCACTGCACTGGACCACACAACTCTAAACTAATCCCACCAACACCTACCTTAGTCACCTCCCACTCCACCCCACCCCCTCTCATGGAGGAGGAACCTCTACCCAGAGAGAGATGGCCTTTGCCAAAGGTCATTGGACCCATTGGTGACAAACCCACCTCTCTCTACCTCCCAGTTTGGAGTTTTCTCACTTATACAGCATTTCTAAACTATCATTTAGCAGGATGTTCATTCCCTGAATAATGCCCAGTGTGCCATGAGAGAAGAAGTTATTCAAAGTTATGTAAGTCCTCTTGGTAAAACAAGATAAGGCACTATCTCTTCATTGCCGTGAGGTCTGATTTAATGATTTCCTTTTTGTTTATGTCAGTT